CAAGGATCTTTCTATCTTTTCCTTCCTCTTTGAAAATCAATTTTAAAAGTTATTTTAAAAAGAGATGTGAGAGGTGGAAAACACTCTGACTACGGGCCCTTCCCACAATGCCCACCTTCTCCGGCTCCCACACCTTTACCGAAGGCTAGCTCTGCCTTTGGGCCCCAGTTCACAACTCCTCCTTCGCCTGAACTTCTGAACCTCTCTCCCTCCACACTGTCCTCCGTCTGCTTGGGAGAATGGTCTGTGTCTGTGTCTCACCACCTGCTGGAGCCTAAAGCCCATGATGACGAGGTCTGACCTGCCCCCAGCACAGCCCGCTGAGCGCCATGCGCGTGAGGGTATAGGGGAGAGCTCGGCAGCGCAGTAAGCCTCCAGCTGTGCCTCCCCCACCCCCCAGTGTGTGGCCAGTGGGCACCGCAGAGGTACTTGACCTTCTGTGCCCTCAGCTGGAGTCGGGAGCAGCGGGTGGACTTCACCAAAGGGGTTCAAGTCCTGATGCTGTCCCTTACTCGTCCTGTGACCTTGGTCATGTGCCTTGGCCTCTCTCAGCCTCTCTCCTTACCTGCCCGCCTCCCTCAGATCAAGTGAAGTCCTGCTCGTGGAGACTCTTCTGCAGACTCCTAAAGCGGGTGGCTGCTCGTTGGCAGGCCCCCCTTCCTCACGGAAGGGGATGTGACGACTGGTGCACAGTGGCTCTCTGGCGACCATGAAGCGACCTTGAAAACAAAGCCACGGGCTTTAAATGTGCCTGTTATAGCAGTCTATACCTCCCCACCGCCTTGTACTTCCCAGAGGGCCCAGTGCACACTGGGCCATGAGCTATGACATATTCAGCTTTCCAGATATTTCCCCACGTCTCCCCTCCAGCCTCGACCCAGTTTCCTGCCCACATTTCTAGTTCAAAACGACGACTAAGCTCTCACCCCAGAGGAATGCATGTCCTGGGTTCATCAGCAGTGACAGCCTCTCGCTCTGTCAGCGCTCAGTCCTTCAGACCCGGTGGCTTGGGGACCCCCCACCTTGAACGTTTCATTCTGGGTCTCATTTCGGGCTTGCGTAAAGATCGATGCCGGGGATTCTGACCTTCAAGGCAGCAGGTGTGACGCCTGGGGTCACAGCACTGAATGCCCATGACCCCCTCTCCCCTGTCAGGACATCACCCCGCTGCAGGTGGTGCTGCCCAACACGGCGCTCCATCTCAAGGCGCTGCTGGATTTTGAGGATGAGAATGGAGACAAGGTAGTGGCAGGAGATGAGTGGCTCTTCGAAGGACCTGGTGAGTTCTTCCCATCGGGCCGGAGTGAGGTCCGAGGCTTCCTGCCTCCCACCGCAGCCCTGGTACCTGCTCACCTTCACCTCTGCCTCCTCCCCTACAAGGCACGTACATCCCCCGGAAGGAGGTGGAGGTCGTGGAGATCATTCAGGCCACGATCATCAGGCAGAACCAGGCCCTGCGGCTGAGGGCCCGCAAAGAGTGCCGGGACCGGGACGGCAAGGAGCGGGTGACCGGTGAGGCTGTGGAGGAGCACGGCTCCAACTCTCTCAACTGCAGGGGAAGTGGGGGGAGGTGGGGAAACCACTCACAAGTGGCTACAGCCGTCGAGGGCTGCCCACAGCCGCTTCCCCACCCACCTTCATGCAGGCGACGTCCAGCCCTGACCCCGTGACCATCATCATGCTGACAGCCTTTCCCTCCCTCACCCTTTATCATGAGCTGAGGCAGTTTCTAGGTCAGCAAAGCGGGTGATCACATGTGATTGACACTTGTATTTGACAAATGTGATGTACGTACAATGTCTTAAATGCAGTGCTAACTCTGCCAGGGGTGACTCGAAATGCTTTGCAAATAGTAACTTATTTGGTCCCCAAACAACCTTGAGTCATTACTATTCCCATTTTCCATATAACAAAACCAAGACACAAAATTAGGTTCCTTGCCCGGGTTTATGGCCAGGGGCAGCTGGGAGCCAGCTTGGGTGACCTTTGACCCTTACTGCTCCACCAGGAGAGGAATGGCTGGTCCGCTCGGTGGGTGCGTACCTCCCCGCAGTGTTCGAGGAGGTCCTGGACTTGGTGGACGCCGTGATCCTCACAGAAAAGGTCTGTGCTCTGGTGGATGCGGGTTAGGGGACGTCCGGGCAGGGAGCGCTCAGGGTGGCAGAGATGGTAACATGGGCGTAGAAGAGAAACAATACTGCTAGGGCCACCAGAAGAAAAACTTCCGAGGCCAGGTAACCCGAGGAGTATCCTGGGTCATCTGAAAGGGCTAAGAAGTCCTCCCGGTGGTAGGAACTGGCACTGAGACCCGGGAGCGTTTGGTGGCCAGCGGGGCTCCCAGGCCCCCTGAGGAAGTCGGAGGGGGGTTCGCTCCAACACCCACCGTCTTGCTCTGCAGACAGCGCTGCACCTCCGGGCTCTGCAGAACTTCCGCGACTCAAGGGGCGTAGCCCGCCGCACTGGGGAGGAGTGGCTGGTGACGGTGCAGGACACGGAGGCCCACGTGCCCGATGTCTACGAGGAGGTGCTGGGGGTGGTGCCTATCACCACCTTGGGCCCCCGCAACTACTGTGTGATTCTCGACCCAGTTGGACAGGATGGCAAGAACCAGCTGGGGCAAAAGCTTGTGGTCAAGGTAGGTGCCCCCTGCCCCCCGCAGCGTGAATGTCCTTCAATGGCAGGAGGGGTTTGGACCTCTCCCTTCTCTCCCGCACCAGCTCCATATTCTGGAAACGCCCACTTGTCATGGCTCCCTCTGTCCTTGGTGCACTAGGCTCTAGCTCCGAGACACGGGCAGCCCCTGACCTCAAGTCACACTGCCTCCCTGGGAGCGCCGCCCTGGTCCTGCCCCGCCCTGCAGACAGCCCGGGAAACTCTATTTCATGTTCCTGGAAACGTCATTCTGTGTCAAACAAACAAACAACTCTTGGTTTACCCTCCTCCCCACCCTCATCTCATCCCCTCTCTGAACTATACAAGGGATCGACGGGTCGGCAAACGTTTTCTACAAAGGCCAAATTGTTGGTGTTTTGGTCTTTGCGATCGATAGGTATGGCTTCTGTTGCAACTGTCTGCTCGGCTGTTCTGTGAAAGCAGCACAGAGCGCTTGTCCATGGACGGTGCCGCCGTGTGCCTGTAACGTTTTATTTGCAAAAACAGGCAGAAAAAAATAGAAACTACCTAATGTCTGTTAGTTGATGAATCGATAAAAAATTGCGGTATATCCATACAATGGAATATCATCTATCTATAACAATAAAAGCGTAATATGCTAATTAGACCAGACATCCTTCCAGATGAAGCCGGGGCCGTGAGGGAAGCCCGGGTCCCGGGTGACGGAGAGGAGCTAGTGCTGGCAGCCGGGGGAAGGAAGGCCTACTCTTGCACAAATTTTGTGCATTGGACCTCTAGTATCTATAATAATAAAAGCATAATGTGCTAATTAGACCAAACAGCCAAATGACCTTCTGGACGTCTTCTGGACAAAGCTGCGGCGGGGGCTGAGGCAGAGGCAGTTAGGGGCGATCAGGCAGGCAGGCAGGCAGAGTGGTTAGGAACTAGTGGTTCTGGATTGCGAGAGGGATGTCTGACTGCTGGGCCTAAACTGGCAGTCAGACATCCCCTGAAGGGTCCCAGATTGCAAGAGCGTGCAGGCCAGGCTGAGGGGAATCCACACCACCCCTCCTGTGCACGAATTTCACGTATCAGGCCTCTAGTCCTATCTAATAAAAGAGAGACATGGTAATTAGCGTACGTCTGCTACCCTTCCCATTGGCTAATCAGCGAGATATGCAAATTAACTGCCAGCCAAGATGGCGTTCAGCAGCCAGGCAGCTTGAAGCTAACATGAGGCTTGCTTGCTTCAGTGACGGAGGACTCCAACGTTCCCCGCCTACCTTGCTGGCCTCTGAGCTCCTGCATGAGCCACTTCTCATTTACATTACTACATGATGGGGAACACATAAAAATCCCCCCCCCCCCCCAC